ACCACAGGTGTATGCAGTGGGGAACGAACACTCGCTGTTGTCCTTACCGGGGAGCAGCGCACTTCACCACTACACCATCTGGGTCTTTCGTCTTGCCTGTCCCTCAGCTAGTTCTATCGATCTTTTTGCCATCAGCAATCACCCGTCAACGGGATTGATCTGGGGAGCCCAAATCGGCATTGAACCCAGTTAAGCTGAGGCTTAGTTATAATCACAATCTTAGCCCTTTTATTTACTGCCTTTTTCTTCTTAATGGCAGGGTATGCTACGAAATATAACTCGTATGAAATGCTGAGATATATCGATAGAACTAGCTGAGACAGGCAAGACGAAGAACCCGGATGGTGTAGTGGTGAAGTGCGCTGCTCCCCAGTAAGGACAACAGCGCGTGTTCGTTCCCCACTGCATACACCTGTGGTCCGGAGTTTTGCAAATATCTCAGCATTTCATACGAGTACTCTCTAGTATTTATCTACTAGCTATCTCGCGTGTTCGTACAAAAGGGGGCGTGCAAAGCTGTAGTACTGATGTCGTTCACCACCAACAAGGCCGTGGTTCAATCTCACCCTAGCTTTTCAAGCTGCCCATCTTTCCACACTCACGAAACTGGTGCAGTGCTTGTGGTAATTCCCACGACCGACTTTCTATTAGACTCGGAATTGATCCAATATTTTTTCTATACTCTTGTTGAGCAAACACGAGGTGATATTTTATTCTTTGTTGACGGAAAGGCTGACGTTTCGGCGGATTTCGCCTTCCTCAGAGCCTGGAAAGGCCATGTTGATCTATCCAGCCAAACACCTTTGTAACCAAATAGATGACGTGTTAAACCAAGATTTCAGTCGCGTTGAAAACAAAACGACTTCTTGGCACACCCACCGCTTTCTATAAGCTTTCCACTGGCTATGTCAAGTAAAGATCAGCCACACAGATATCATGTGATTCTCACATTAAAATAACAGTTTTAAATACAGTATGGTATCGCACGCGATTGTGATGCATTCCTCCCTGCACTTCATTTTCGGATTCTTGGAATTAATCCAGAATTCCTCGGGAGTGTTGCGCGATGGTGTTTTCGATTCCTGTACAAGGGTCGTACCTTCTACTTCAAAATCTTCTCCATTATGTCTCCTTATCCCACATGCGTTTAGTGGAACACTTGGTTAAACTTTAAATTTACCGACCAGGTGTTCTTTTATTCGATTTCACAGGGAGCAATGCCTCACTCGTATTCACGCGTGATATTAGACAGTATTGAAGACTTATTTTCATGTGAGAGGCACATTACGCTTCTATGTGAACTATGTGCGATTGTCTCCACATAAAATATTCAATGGCAGCCCCATGGAAAGCGGTGAGTGTGCTAAGAAGTCATTTTGCTTTCAAGGCGATTGAAATCTTGGCTTAGCGCTTTCTCTGTTTGGTTATGGAGGTATTTGGCTGGGTAGACTGCAGTAACGTGACCTTTTCAGGCTCTGAGGAAGGCGTAATCCTTTGAAACGTCAGCTTTTCCCGCAATAAAGAATAAAGTAGCACCACGTGTTTGCTCAACAAGGGTGTAAAAAATTATTGGTACAATGCTTATTCGAAGCCAGCCAGCTAACCGCGATCCACAAAATGTGACGAGGTTGTTGAAAATACCTCAGCACGACTACCCTAACATTCCACGAGAATCGACTGGATCAGAATTCACCGATATTCTTAAAGAAGACCAAATCTTCAAACTGTAGCACTAGCACGCGAGGCTACATAACTTATATATACATATCGCCGATGTGTTGCTTAGGTTCAATTCTAGCAACGTCCTCTGAAACCCGAGATTTGATTGCTTCTTTTCGATTGTTTCATCTACCGGCGGTGTAGGCGCAGGTATTCAGTGTATGAGGTATTGAGACATGTTTGTTGCATGCAGGAGCATTTGCTTTCTTCCACGTCGGAGTTGGTTAGCAAGTGCAATTTCCATACGCATTTACAAACGTGGATCACAGGGAGCTTCGCTTCCTTTGCACTAGTTGCTGCCACGTCCGCATTGATTTCTAGCATGAAACGTTTGATGTACACCAGTGAATATCGCACCTGAGTGACGATGGTAGCGTGTAGTTTAATTTAGAAGTGAACACGATGAACGACTTAGTTCTACACAACTAATGAGGAAAAGACGAAAGCTTCCGGAGGTTGATAACAGCAGACAGGACGGTTGAAGAAGACAACGGACGTGGAACTTCTTTTCGATTCAGGAATTGCTCTGCCTTAATTTAGCCTTGGAAACATGGACACTTTATACAAGATCAAAATCTCCTAACGGTCTACTGCCTGCCTCATCGTAGCTGGGAGGTGTTCCTGCGTGTTCGGCTGCGATGTACAGCGAGGGGTTCCATACCCCTGGCCGTGTCTCCCAAGCTCAGGAGTCCGGCGTCTCCATCAGGAAGCTTAGCTAAGAGTAAACCAATACCAAGATCCAACACCGTCCCGGTATCAAAGTCGCATGGTGGCAAATCTTCCTCTGATCCACAAGGGCTGCGACAGCTTGTAGTGGTGAAGGCCTGGGACACACTTTGGTCAGACTGACATCGAGATTCCAGGGAACCGCAGTGGCGTAAACAGCAAATCTCCGAAAAATGGAGATTATGCTGGGGCCCACGCAAACAGTGAGGACGGGCTATTCAAGTACCAATTATCAAGTAAGAAAGCGTTACTGAACAGACTATCGATAGGATGATGATAGGTCTATCACACACCATCCTAATGAGAGAGCGAATCCAAAATTCCAATTTATTTCCATGATAAGTGATCATGGAGGCTACCACATACGTTAAGATTTCAAAAATCCGGTGAGTTCCTTGTTTCATAACGACAATGGTTGTACAAGAGCAGTTAGCTGCTGGATTTTACAGGTTGCCATTCACACAGAATAAAGACCACCGAGAAGCCAGCTTCCCCAGATCTCAAGATCCTATTAGAGAATCACGATTACCTAATAGCCACTCGAGAAGACCAACCCGGCAAACTCTTGTGAGCGATAGGGACAAGCGTAAAGCACTTTGTACGAATGATTAGAAAAGATATTTAACTGGAAAAAGAAACCAAAACTTGATGAACTCTACGGAGAGTGGCCTAAAAAATCAGAAGAAAACTAAAAAATTTTCAACATGATCTGGCACTAAATAGTGTGAATATCCAAGCACTTGCTTCATTCTACTAGCTTCTTCCTTCTTCTTTTACATTATCAAAGAAGGTCTGTGTATTCTACGCGTGGAACCGATTATTACTTGAGAATTTTTGGTCTCCGTTACAAAAGTCGTTGACGCTGGTGGCGTTGATTGTCCCTGAAATGGTCATGGTCGAGCGAAGGTGTTCTCAGATCTTCGAACCGGAAGCAATTACCAGCTTCTGTGGAACGGAAGTCGCTCACCTCAGGAAGGACTGATACTAATTTTTCGACCTTGGCAAGATGGAGACTTATTGGGCCTGAACGTGGTCAAAAGCCTTGTCGATATAGAGACAATGTTTTTTCAAGAAAATGAACCGCAAGGAGGAGTGTCTTGTCATCACGCGTGACCTAGCGCCATACCTCAGGCTGATCCAATGATCTGACATGGACCCAGTTATCGACCATGTATTACTCTGTGCGGCGGCTATCCACCAACTAACTTAAATACTTACGACAAATAAACGGTAGGTGTTTGAATGAAGCTGTTTCTTATGCGAACACAAATCGATTTATCAAGTTTTATCTGCTAGGGTTATGAAAGTGTTTGGCTGAGTAGATCGCATCTCAATTTGACCTTTCCAGGCTCTGAAGAAGGCGAAACCGCCGAAACGTCAGCAATTGTGTTCTAATAAATTCTATATTAACAACCTCGTGTCTGCTTATTGATGAAAAACATTGAATTATCAATTAATGCCGAGGTTAACAGAAAGTCGGTCGTGGGATATAGAGACATTTATTCAAGTAATCTCTGTCTTACATCTCAGTACGTCTTAAACTAATCATGTATTTGCCATTGTTACTCCTGTCTTGTAACCTATTGTATCACAACTTATTTGACAATGTTCGCGTGCGTGGCCTACATTTATGGTTCTTAACCATCGGCGATGCCACCGAGAACGGCAACATTGCCTGATGACACGACTCTGTGACTTTCGCCAATCGCTTGGATGTTAGTGCATCACCTACGGCAGTGGCACTGCCTTGCTATGTGCCAGAAAATGAAGCACCGACTGGTACAGGACGCACTGACTCTGCAAAGTATATCATATTGAAGACGGGAATCGATCAACACCTGCCTTGTTTAGAAGGACACCGCTAAATGAAATTAACCATTCGAGCAAGAAACTTTCACTGGATTCGTCTTGATGCGAGAACGCACACCTACACTCTGACAATGACGAGCTGTGGACCATCGACTCTGATCAACGTGGCTCTGAAGAAGGCGAAGCCGCCCAGATGTTAACCGAGTAAATGTTTTATGGTAATCCCGTGCCAGCTCAATCATACAAAATACTAGCGATATTTCCCTCTGGACGACACGCTGCCATTACTAATCACCCTCTTCTGTCGCTTCACTGTAGTCGATTCTTACCTTAAATATGGAAGGAGTTTTGTCTTTCAAAAAGGAAATCTATCAAATCTAACAAATGAAACAAAGTTTACTCGTAGAACTCAATAAATATGCTTCAGATACCGTATGTTAGATGACTTGGGCAACTAAGTTTCTACATTTCACCATGAACACGTAAGATAAGATGATATGATTAATAGCATATTAATAGCATAGCACACATATTGGATGATGCGTGGGCGAGATACGTGTGTATACGGAACAGCGTAACAACAATAACTATTATTTGCAATGGTTTCACTTAGGATCGTAGGTGCGCTTTGAAGCTAGCCCCTATTGCCACAGCACCCTACTCAGCACACTTCTTTCACTAAAGTCTCAAGGTTTCTGACATAGCTCTAAACACTTTGGCCCTCGCATCAAAGAATGTCTGTTAATTTAGACAGTGATCTTCAGGACGCCATTCTCGTCCATTGATACCTTACGATTGTCACCGGGAGAACGACTCACAGAATCCACAGTTTCTTTAGCACCACCGCAGTCCTGATGCAGCGCAGACATATCCACATGGACTCCATCGTTCTTCTACAACACTTTCTATTCGTGTTAAGAAAAAATTCATGTTTCATAATTCCACCTATAGTATGGTACAGCAAATCAAAATGATTCAACAGCATTAATAAATCTAATAGAAATCTCTCTACGGTTTTCTAAAGCATCTTCTAATTAGAAGAATATTGATTAATGTTAGACTAGCAATGGAAAGTCGGAAATAAGCACTACATAACTTTATAGCTGGCCGTTCTATCTTCATTAACCGGTCACGAAATCAATACTCACATTTGTCATTAAACATGTAACATCTTAATATATCCAGCAGTAATTGCAAGTGTTAATATAAATCGTATCACCAGAAGTCGATGAAACCTCGAAGAACATCCTTGACACCGTTCAGTATATTACACAGACTTCCTCTCAAAGCGACTCAGACGAAAGGAAGCTGACTGATTCGTCCAACTACGGCTAGCAGACATATTTCTGCTTTGTTTCCGAACCAAGCCGAATTTTTGCATTACGATCTGTAAGTTTGCATGAGCAGTCTACTTATGAAATATGAGCCCTCAGGGTGCAAATGGGTCCACTTCAGTCTTGCATAAATCTGGCTTTACCAGACTGAGAGGAGTAAAAAGAAGCTATCACGACAGTAGATTGTCAAACAATAGCCATAGAATTTTCCATAGAATGTTTGGGTCATGGTCGTAGGAACAGCCACAGAATTTGCTGCGAATGTATTAAAATTAAGAACTGTGCAGGATGTGCAAAGTTGTCAGCAAGGATTTTGCCCTCATTTCGCTGGTCTTCGATTTGAGAAGGCGTTCTTTTCGGATAAAAAGCAAAAGCGAGAATTCCAACTGCCTCCCCATGCGGCCCGCGAAATTATACTGTACCAATTTGTCAAAATTCCTGACTTCTCCATTTGTTTCCAACGTTTGAAAGAAAAAAATTGAAATCCTATCCTCGAGGTAAGGTCTACATCGTTCTTCCTCTTCAACAGTTTCTCTAAAACCTTATGATCGATGACCACGAATCTAGCTCTGGGATTGCCGATGTTGAATTTCTGGAGCACAACTACTCTAAAATGGTGTCCACGGTCACGACAGGAGCCCTGAAAATGAGATACTAGGGTTTACTCCAGAGATGTTTCATTTATCAAAAGCACAGAAACTTTACGAACATTATATTTGTCAATTAAATACTTACTTGGATGGTCCATCTTCACTGGCTGTGCGGACCCCAGCATAGTTTCCACTTCTTCGGAGTTTCACTGGTATAACCATTGTGGTTCCCTGGAGCCCAGTGGTCAAGCTGGCCAAAGTCCGCCTCAGGTCGTCTACAACAGGCAGTCGCCGCCCTAATGGATCACAAGGAGATTACCACCATGAGACTAGTTTGATACGAGAATGGTGGTGAATCCTGGTATTGATTTACTCTTAGCTGAACTTTTTGATGAAGACGCCGGACGCGCTCTCAGCATGGGAGGCCCTGCTGAAGGGGTGAATCCCCCACTGTACATCGCGGCCCGACACCCAGGAACACCTCTCTGCCACGACGAGGCGGTAAACCATTGGGGAGAATGCATTTATTATATAGGTCAAACGTGTCTAATCTTCCACAAGGCATCCATGACATTTTGACTATGAAAACACTGGTAAAGAGTAAAATCGAACACAATACCAGCGTGTAATGATACAAATACGCCCATTTATTGCAAGATATTAACAATAAATGAGCTCATATCCACATAACACATTCAAAATTACGTGTTGAAAGCAATGCAAAATTCACTCCAAAGAAACATTGCTCAGACAGAAATGAAAATTTCCAACAATCAAGAGTCAGAAACTGCTGTTCTAAATTACGGGGTAATACACAACGACAAGGAATGGTCAGAACAAAAACTTATTGATCTTTTCCGAAAGCGACTCACAAAGGAACTCTCTTACCATTTCAGACGCATGAAAGGTATTTTGCAGTTTAATTTGAATGCAGAATACAACATACTTGTGAAATACCTAAGTAGCTAAGTCCCATAAACATAGAAGAGCAAGGTAAGCGAAATAAAGCAAACGATTTAAACTCTGGATTTTTTGTCTGAACTCTGTGCTGCACATTAGCACAGTCCACTGCATAATTTACGCTTTAGTAAAAGAAAACCCAAGAAATTTGGTTCCACCACTTCTCGAGGAAGTGTATCACTGAACGATAAAATGAAAGCGCACACAGAAGAAAAAGACACATGTCGACAGCTGAGCTGCGATGTTTCTTTTCCTACCTCATACTTACCCCTAAGCAAACAAAAATATCAAAAACTTAAGCAGACTAACTCAATACAAACGAATCAGCAAAAAAAAGCAAGTATAAGAGTGATAGAAAGCAAACTCTAAGCACTTACATCGTCCAAAATGACAACATCGCTGTCGTCTTCTACCAAGTCAACCGTCAACTTTTCCTCTTCTTCCATCTTTGTCTCCTGCTTTTCGCTGGCGATATCTGGTTTCGGATCTTCTTCCTGGTCCAATTCAGTATGTTCAGAAGCAACTTCTTCAAAGACCGACTGACGGTACTGACAAAGATCCTTCTCTAGTTCGGCGATTTTTGCGTCACGCTCGGAAATTTCTTTAGCGTAGTCTATAAAACACAATACAGGATAAAATGCTAGATTCATCTAGGAGTGTAGGTTGCAATTTTCGTAAATGAAAATAAAAACAATGAGAACTCACCCTTCTTTTCTTTCCTAACCACATTAAGAGCATTGTGTGCAAGTGCAAGTCTGTTTTGTAAAGTAGATATTTTCCGAATATTCTTCTCATGTTCGCGCATCTTTTTCATAACATGGTTCTTTGACTCAAGAAACTGGTACAGGATCTTGCTGAAATTAGAAAAAAATCAACATGAAGTCTCTGATTTGGATTCAAGAAAAGAGATTTGGCATTTAGTGTAACCTATATACAAATCGTATGAATGTCAAATACGCATGGTCAAGACATTCTAATTGAGACAACTTTCCAGGACAGACTTTCCATCAACCTCGAAACAGATCGAATAGTCCTCAACAAGAATATCGAAAACTAATACAACTTCATTCTACGTAAAAGTACTTCTCTGTAAATATATTTCCGAAGACCACATTTCAATTTTGGAAGGAAATACATTACTAAGCGTCTGGTGAGCAGAAAATGACAAGACGACGGTATGCGAAGATTTTGCTTTGAATTTATTCATTTCAACACCCCTCAATATATCACCAAAACCTGTCCAGTTAACCATATGCCAAAGGCTTAACATTTTTGTTCTTCATTACTTGATATTTGATACTTGAATGGCTCGTCCTCACTGGATGTGTGGGCGCCAGCATAATCTCCATTTTTCGGAGATTTGGTGGTTAACCCATCATGGTCCTCTGGATTCCCGAGGTCAGCCTGGCCGAAGTCTGCTCCAGGTCTTCACCACCACGTGCAGTCGCAGCACTTGTGGATCAGAGGGAGAATTACCACTACGCGACGACTTTGATAACAGGTCGGTGGTGGACCCTAATATTGGTTTACTCTTAGCTAGGTTTCCTGATGGAAACACCGGACTCCTTTCCAGCTTGTGACACCCTGCCAGGGGATGAAACCCCTGCTGTACATTGCAGTCGGACACCCAGAAACACCTCCCAACCACGATGGGGCGGTAAACCGTTGGGAGGTTTTTCATTACTTCCGTTAAACGCGTGTAGCGTGGTGAACGGAGGCGCATCCCAGTATATATGGGATCGATCTCTGCGCTCCAGCCTCACCAAGCCTTCCATTCCTGCAGGGTCGGCAAATTGGTACCAGATTCGTCTGGGATCATGGCAGTACTGATTCGATACATCGGTAGGCCACCGCTAGTCATTGAAAAAAAACCAGATATCGATCCACTCACCTCCGACGATGCTTAATGAAGTTGAATGCATGGTGTATCCCTCAGACATTGATCAACGTCGGGAGCTTTTCTTTTTTAGCTTTACGATTAGACATTGAAATCCGCTCTCAAGAACTTCGTAAGTATGCATGTTTGAATTTGACACTTTAGCCGTACCATTTAGATCAGATATGGCATGAAAGTCTCAGTACAAATTTCTCAAGCAATCAGTATGAGTTCCAGTACAAGTCCCAATCTACTGGCAGTCACTCGGAATTTGTGGAAGAAAAGCAGTTGATGGACTTATGCTAAATAGCCTTCGACTGTAGTCGTGACTATAGAATAATAAAAGCCTTATAATGAACTCTGTTCCAATACCACACCAATACTACGAAAAGAAGAGAATATTTTAAAAAATGAAGAAAAAATATGACTCTGAAGAAGGAGAACAAGTAAGCATTCACGACGATCGGCAAAAAAACCGTTAGTGCTAGCATAAGGTCTTAAAGGTGAAGATGATGGAACCAAGAATCGAAAGCTTGAAAGTAGTTAAGCAAAACCTTTTCAACTATAATAACTTAAGTACATGAGACAGTAACACTAAGGTCACGCAAACGATAATCAATGTCCTAACCCAAGCTGTGGTACCGAAATAAGAAAACAAGGAAACATAGAAAAGACGATAGTATTTGAATAATCGTTTCCGAGTGTTTAAAACTGCAGAAGGTAGCACATTAGAATACAGTATCTATAACAATGATGTTCGTTAGAGAGGATCAAAGCAAATGACTTGTAACCGACTTGAAGAAAGACATATGCGATCGCATTTTTGAAAACATAGTCACTGATGCTGCGGAAGCAATAGCAAAAACCATCATAACAAAAAAGGACACATTTTGACGGGGTAAGTATAACTATTACAGATGCTGTGCAATAATACAAGCATGGTCTAAGGTTCGGCTCAGCCCAGCTCCAACAAAGCTTCGAATGTCTAAGGGAGTCGGTAAATTGGAATCAGACTTTTATGGGAAAAACTTCAGCTCAGACCCATGAAGGCTGGCAAAAGCAGTTGTGGTAAAGGCCTGAATATGGTAGAATTCTTAGGATTCCAGGATTAGCGGGGGCGAATCAACTCGACCAGCACCCAAAACATCTATGAAGAAAACGAAGTCCATAAGTGGCAGCCGGATGAGCACTTAGATTCAAAGACTTTTGTACATTATGAATGTGAAACAATGAACTGAATGAGGGAAGTGCTTGACACAATATGTGAAGTTGGGACATGTAAACAATAAATGAAATGGGATAAAAAATATTTGGATACCAATGTATATGGCGCTGAACCAATCGCACACATTTCAAAACATTCTTAAATTATAGAACTCGTCAAACAATACTATTTATTCAAGATCTACTCCTTGTCTCTCTTACCTGTGTGGAGGATATAATAAAGAAAATAACCTAGAAGAACTTACCAGCAACCATACCCATTAACGTCGAATACCACTACTGAGTTTGCAGACTCCTATTAAATAAAACAAAAGTCATAGCGTTATGACTATCCTGGTTATGATTGACTTGGTATAAAAAATTTAAACACTGCTCATATGGCTTTGCTTTGAGAAAGTGAAGAAAATGTCGTAGGATAATCTTAACCCTATTATTTACTGCCTTTTTTTAAATGGCATGGTATGCTGCGAAATATAACTCATATGTAATGCTGAGATATTTGCAAAACTCCGGACCGCAGGTGTATGCGGTGAGGAACGAACACGCGCTGTTGTCCTTACCAGGGATCAGCGCACTTCACCACCACACCATCCGGATCTTTCGTCTTGCCTGTCTCTCAGCTAGTCCTATCGATTAAAAAGAAAAAGGCAGTAAATAAAAGGGTTAAGATTGTGATTATAACTACGCCTCAGCTTAACTAGGTTCAATGCCGAATTCACCACAAATAACACAAATCAGGTTCTGTGTTTTAATTACCACCTACTAGGCTGATGTGATCAATGTCCCTGTGCAAACGTCGCTCACGTTTCAGAATAATCCACCCGGTTTACTAACAACGATTTTTCAAGTTCCCAAGAAGGTGGATCAAAGCTGTAGAAAAACTAGAACAATTTGTCCAAAATAGAAGTAGGAATTTAAGGCATCCGATCTGTTTGAACCTAAATTTTTCAATCGCATAAGAAAGCGAAAGGACTTCTTTGTGATGTATGACTACAACTCATAACTTGTCAGTCTGAATAATTGATAGTATCATGGATATTCGGAATGTGCAAAACGCACAACTTCGCTCCTGCAAGTTTCAGCTTTCTAGACATTACTGTGGAAGCAGCGATAGACCGTTTTTCATCTTTAACTTCAACCTATCCCGTCTTTCTTATCATTCAAACGACATAAATGGTAGAAGGAGGACTCGTTCAAACAAATTCTGGTTCGAATAACCAAAGCAAAAGAACTACCACAACGAACCAATCTTTACCGCCTTCCAACGCTTTCACCGTTTCCCTTAGCTCAGTGATTTCTTTTTCCCTCCTTGCGATCTTCTCCTTCATTGCTATGAACGTCTCGTAGAAAAATGGATCCAGAAGCTGATCTCTCTCTGCTGGATTCGTTCCTACACCACTATAGTAGGCGTCATTGCGTTCTTTCTAAAAAGAAAATTTGCTAAAAAGCGAAAGGTAAGTACTTTTAGCAAAACAGATATTTGCACAATAAGAGTGATCAGCCGATTTGCTGACAACAGATAGAGATGACGACACGTGACCCGTGACCTGATATGTGTGCTTGTATACATGCGTGCGTATATGTATATATTTTTGTAACTCGTATGAAATGCTGAGATATTTGCAAAACTCCGGACCGCTGATGTATGCAGTGGGGAACGAACACGCACTGTTGTCCTTACCGAGGAGCAGCGCACTTCACCACCACACCATCCGGGTCCTTCGTCTTGCCTGTCTTTCAGCTAGTTCTATCGATCTTTTTGCCATCAGCAATCACCCGTCAGCGGGATTGATCTGGGGAGCCCAAATCGGCATTGAACACAGTTAAGCTGAGGCATAGTTATAATCACAATCTTAACCCTTTTATTTACTACCTTTTTCTTTTTAATGGCAGGGTATGTTGCGAGAGACAAGCAAAGCGAAGGACCCGGATGGTGTGGTGGTGAAGTGCGCTACTCCCCGGTAAGGACAATAGCGCGCGTTTGTTCCTCACCGCATACACCTGCGGTCCGGAGTTTTGCAAATATCTCAGCATTTCATACGAGTTATATTTCGCAATATACCCTGCCATTAAGAAGAAAAAGGCAGTAAATAAAAAGGGTTAAGACTATATATTTTTATATTTTATTTGATTCGTCTTCACGTCTACTGTGCGGATCCCAGCACTTCTCACATTCGATTCGTTTCCTCGCATCCACTGTCAACGAATTATCCACGAAGATCTTCCAACTTTTACGTGTGGCTTCGATTGCTGCTTGAGGATTTCTATTTCATCTTAGATGTCGTAGAATGCTCGTCGAGCAATTCTCCCTTGAGTCCTGAGATAGCCGGACTGGAGCGTTCCTAACTGGATTGCAGAGAGTGATTTTTTCCCAGACAAGTCCGGTACCAATTTCCCAACTCCGGAGGGATGAGAGGGTTTGGTTGACCTGGAGCGGAGTCGAACTAGCACCATGCTTGTGATAATGGACACCACTACCACTATTCTAGCCGCCCCCTAAGTGTGAATATATATATGTGTGTATACATATTGTGCGCACATGTGTACTGGTACCTTAAGACTTTTCTTACCTCATTGGATATCCGATATAACTTCGACTATTAATATACTGAGCAACTGAATACCGAGTAGAAAGAAAACTTTTATGCAAGATGAGTCTCTAAAAGTTGCAAGTCAGGACCTAATCACCTAAATAATTGTGGCGTCGCAAAATTCTAACTACGGGGTATTCACAATCCGGAACTTTCACGTGGATGCCATTGTGTCAAAACTCGTCTTTCTATTAACTCATGAAAAATGAGATGAACTTCATAAAGTGATGCAGATGATACAGTTCGCCTCAATACCTGGGAATTCCCTCATAAACAATTCCCTCACATAAAATACGGTGACACTTTTGGATTCAAAGGTTATGAATAGTATTCATATTGTCGCTAAACAATATGAATAGTGGTTGTGAACGCATCAGCCCCCGAAGAAGGTAATAGCGGGTTCGAACTTCACAGCAGATACCTGCGGTCCGGAGTTTTGCAAATATCTCAGCAAAAAAAAGAATAGGCAGTAAATAAAAAGGTGACTAGAATATGAACAGTATTACCTCGATTTGAAGCAATTCCCACTTCATTTTCTTTCTTTTTATGACCTGCGGGATCCTAGCACTTCTCCCATTCGATTTCCTCCCTTGTATCCATTTTCCACGAAGTTCTTTCAAATTAGTTTTGCGGGTGAGTTTGGCTGGTGCTTGAGGGCTATCCTTTCATCGTGAATATCGTTAAATGCCGGTGGAGTCGATTTTCCCCGAATTCCTCAGATAGCCGAGCTAGAATGTTACCAGTTGGACTGCAGAGACTGAACTTTTCCCAGCCATGCTTGGTAGCGATTTCCCGACCCCGGGAGTAAGATGCGCTTGCTGAATCCGAGGTTCGGAGCAGCACCATATTCCTGATGATCATCACCACTGCCACTGCGCTTCCCGTAGCCTTCTTTTCACTGTTACTATCAAGATTGTAAAGAAACAAGTGCATTCCAAACAGTCAAAAATCCTAAGCTATAAAAGCAAGCTACACTTACGAGGAGGTCTTTAAGCTCTTTATCCTTCTGCAGCACTTGTAGGCGGGAAAGAGCAACACGTGTCTTCAGAGTTCTCACCATTTCGTTGGCTTCGTTCAACTGATCGGTGAGCGAGAGGATCCTGAACAAAGATAAAGGCAATAAGCATATTGTAAATGAAATAATACGGCCATTACTACTTTTCAATGAGAGCTGCAGTATCTGCAGACTCCAGCTCTTCACGATTTTGTTTGATAAATTTACGAGGCACGACTGTCTCCGGATTATCGCTGGCTCGTTTCATCACTGTAAACAGAATAATGTTAAAGAATGCTTGAGTTACAAACCATTACACTTCTCACGACCGATCAATAAAATTATTTTAAAGAGGATTGCGTAAAATACAAAGAATTTTAGAAAACAAAAACGCAAACGCTTAAGGACAACTGTCAAGTATGTTTCAGGTCGAAATCCACTGGAATAAAATAACGATGAAATGAGTGTATTAACTAACTAATAACTAACAGCAGGACATGTACTGCAAACGAACCAGGACTTAAGAAGTGCCATCCATACAGAAAGTCTAGACAACATCACTAGGAGCGACCGATTAGGTTATAAGGACCATTAGTACAAGTTCAAGGCGCCCAAGAACACTTAGAAACGTCACAACAGTGTACTCTAATAGAATTTCTGTATTATACAGAAGTAATACGGAAGCTTAACAGGTAAGGAAAGTACAGTTGTAGACTAAGCTAAGGCAGTTAAGGTCAATCGACAGCACCCTAATGGTGATGTTTTGGAGCGCGTTATTGTACGGGGTTGGAATACTACAAATGCGGATAGATCTTTTTCAAATCACAGTTGACAGCTTTTGTTAGCATGAACGGGCATCCTGTTCTTGCCTAGCAGAGTGCCATTTGCCCCACTTGTTCTCCATTTCAATGCTGTCTTACAAACGAAAGTTCTAATTCTACTTCGATAACAAATAACGTACTAAAGTACTGCTTAGGAAAACGGTACAAGTGTATGATTCGAGTAGCTAAAAATGGATATACCGAATTTGTCCCAAACAGTGAGTATATTTCGTCCAGTTAGACATCATTTAGCATCTCACCTTCACTCGCTTGATGGTTTACTAGTGCCTTGGTTGTGTCTACTCAGCGCTCCCACTTTTCAAAATGATACTCACAGCGAACGGTTATCCCTCCAGGGTAGCTCAGGCTTAGAACTTTGGTATTTACAATCAGAAGACCAGCTATGAGTAAACGAGCGTTACAGCAAAACCCTCGGGTGTAACCGTGATTCCCTTCTTGACCCTGGCAAAAAGAAAGAGTAAAGAAAGGAGTTGCGAAATATTACTTTCATAATGCTGAGATATTTGAAATACTCTCCGGACCGCAGATGTCTGCGCTGAGGAACGAACGCACTATTATCCTTTCCGGGGAGTAAGACGTTCACAACCACACCATGCGGGTCCTTCGTTTCGCCTGTCTCTCAGCTAGTTCTATCGATCACAGCCATCACCAATCACCCGTCAGCTGAGATATTTGCAAAACTCCGGACCGCAAACGTCTACAGTGGGGAACGGACGCGCTATTACCTTTTTCGGGCACTGATCGATAGAATCCCTGAGGGATGCGATGCCTACCGATGTATCGAGCCAGTGCTGATATCCTCCCAGGAAAGTCTGGTACCAATTTGCCGACCCCGGTGAAATGGAAACCCGGTGGGCCATAGGCGCGCGGATCGATTCCACGTGTGTGTTGCATAGCGCCTCTGACCACTGCGCCATACACACCTTGTTATAACTGTTAAATTTACATTTTCGTTCAGGTTACTGCGCAATTTACATTATCTTGGGTTCTTCTCATGACTAATTTCTGAGTACGTGTTTTGTTCATTTGTTTGTAGTTTTACTATTTATCATTCATCAGTGCATTTTGTTCTACTTGTCAGCAAATGTAGTTAGTTAAGGTAAAGTACAGAAATCTCCGTCCATCTGCAAAGTGAGCCGTGATACATTTGAAATCATTCCTTCATTCTTCTTGCTTAGTCTTTTTTTTTTTTTGGAAAGTTTCCTCATTTCTACATGGCCGTTTCAAGTGTGTTTCACATCTGATCCGTAAAAGTAAACCGAACCGTAAAAACATGGTATTTTCCGAATGCCTATGGCTTCAAAATCAAGCTCGCCAATACTCTCGGGCACATTGCTATAACACTAGTCGCATTTCAGATGAAGTCCAACAGTAGAAATCGACAGGTGTGCTCATTCTACCTTCACATCAATGGTGGTGAACTGACCAGTAGTTATTCATACGAAAGAAACACCCATTAAGAAGTGAAATAGGAGCACAGCATAAAGAAGGGTGAAAGAAATGGAGAAATCGTTAACGATTACTGCTCGGACACAAGCTGTTTCGTCGGTGAAAAATCGAACAGGGCCAGTTCCGGGCAAGATAAGAACTAAATATCCGAAGTACCTTTCGTCCCCATCAACACACTGGCTCGGCCGTTCACACGTTATCCGTTAGAATGCAAGGTTCCCATTCAGTGGAAGACCACTAGGACTGTACTATTGTTCAGGAAGGGTAATCTCCATGATATCGGGAACTAACGCCCAATCTGCTTGCCGTCCGTCTGCAAACTTTTAAATCGAGTCTGAACAGGATTAACAGTCCACTGAACGAAGGACAGCCATGTGAGCAAGCAGGGTTTCGAATAAGATTTAGTACGATGGACCACATCCACACGATAACAAGACTCATTAAAGTATCGCGAGAGTACAAAAGACCGCTCTGTCTCACTTTCATCAATTTGCAGAAGGCCTTTGATTCAGCTGAGATAGAAGCAGTCTTGGAAGCTCTTGATAGTCAAGGAGTCCCTACTCAGTACATATTCTTCGTGAGCTGTACAAAAATTTCACAACCAAGATATCACCATTCTACAACGATATTATCATTGATGTGAAAAGAGGGGTTAGGCAAGGCGACACCATCTCGCCAAAATTATTTACCACCACCTTCCAGAACGTCATGCGAATATTGGAATGGGATAACATGGGAATGAAAATCGATAGTCGGCAATTACATCTTCCCTTTGCTGATGACATCGTCCTTATAACACGAAACGTTGGCCAAGCGGAACGTATGCTTGCCGACTTTGATAAAGCCTATGGAAAGATTGGTCTTCGACTAAATCTCACAAAAACGATGTTCATGAAGAACGGATTGGTCGCGCATGCCCCATTCACGCTCAACGGAACGAATATCGCCGAATGCTCCAGTTATATCTATCTAGGTCGGGAAATCAGCGTGTTGAACGATTTAGCTCCAGAACTGAGCAGAAGGAAACGAGCGACTTGGGGAGCTTTCATGAGCATCGGGACGTAATGAAAAGAACAGAGAACATCCAACTCCTTGCCCACCTTTTCTACTCAACGGTACTTCTTGCCCTAACGTTTGCGTCAGAAACCTTGTCGCAGCGTAAGCAGGATGAAAGATCACTCAGCGTTATTGAACGCGCAGGACGATGGTAGGATTATCCCGTATCACGCGAGTGAGGGATCCGAAGCTCCGAGCCCGCACACGTAATGCATACGAACGATAACCAATGGACGAGAGTAATTGGTAACGGTATTCCTCGGGATGTCAAACGCACAGCAGGAAGACCACCGACCCGATGGTCACAGTTCTTCACGAAAAGCCTAGAAGAAAGGTGTGATGCTCAACGAGCCCGTAGAGCGAGCAGAACTCACTGGACTAGTAACTGCCACGACCGACTTTCTATTAACCTCGGCATTGATCAAGTGATTTTGTTCGTATTTTTTTGAGCAAACGCGAGGTGTTATTGTTCTTTGTTCACGATTAAACGACGATTGCGATTGCGACGTTCACGACGTCGAATTGCGAATACTACGCACTTGTCTACGAAGCCGACAAAACCAGATGTTCGCCAAGTGGAAGAAGTGCGAGACGAAGGAAAACTTTTGTGCTAAATATTTGGAGGACCACCTCTGGAGGAGAATAGTGAGCGGGCTCTGAAGAAGGCGAAATTCGCCGAAACGTCAGCTTAATCGTGAACAAAGAACAATAACACCTCGCGTTTGCTCAAAAAAATACGAACAAAATCACTGGACTAGTCTTGTACACGTCTGGGTGAATTGAAGCGTTTAGTGGCGCACACTTGAGTCATTGGACGATCGACGAATGGATAGGTGATCAGATGATCTCAAGTTTACTGTCTACTTATGATTTATTACTTACGGATACTGTTTGTTTCTCGAATTTACTATCGATTACTCGATGTTATAAGTTACAACATTTCCAATGTAACATTCTCATGCGAAACTCATACGAGTTACATGAGATAATCTCAAACCAAGCCAACCAAGAATGTGTTGGCGCGCGTATGCTTTATCCTCCTGTATCGTTATTTGGATAAAGAAGTTGTGAAGAAATTGTTAACCAGAAATATTAATCCGTCGATAGTTCGAAATTCAAAAAAAACGGAACTGCATTGTTGGATAGATATCTAAAGTCACTAAAATGGCCAGCAGTAACCAGGGCAAGATTGCATAATCGTCTCGAATCGACCGCTCTCCACTTGCATGAGCACCGTGTACGTGGTCAATTTGTTAAGATTTGTACGTGACGACAGCACATTGAAGAGACCCTGAAAATATCAGCGATAATACCGCAATTTAACGCTTAAATGTAACATTCCAATTTGACCGGCATGTGTTGACATCAACTCATGGCGAATGCAGCTATCACTAGCGGCCTCGGACTCTAAGTTCTTAGGAAAAATGATATAGACGGTGCAGCGATGGTTCACCCATCTGTACTAACGTATAACGAACCCAAATGGTCCTTTCTTCTGTTAGCTATCGATAATTTTTCAACAGCTAAAGCAGCAGAGAAATTGGCTTGATAGGACGTCTTACTCTATCGCATTTTGCACCATGTCTGTTAAAATGAATGCATATAGCCCGTTATGCGCTAAGGACATAAGGAAAACCAAGTCCATCAGATTTCCCTTTGCTTGCTTGCATACTAATAGGATACATTTCTACCTGTAAGCTAACGTTTTTCTGTCCAAGCACTTGCATACAGTGATTACCAGGTGTACGCCGATCGTCCAAGTACAGTACCTAAGATTTAAATTTCGATTTAATGCCACCTATTTTCACAAGTATATCCACGTTCAATTCCAGTGAAACAAACCGGTTTGTTCAAATCGTAGTTGGTTTCCAATAGGTACCATCCATTCTCCTCACTAGGATTGAGCTCATTCAGCAGATCTGTTTTAGTAAGACTTCGAGTTATGACCGATCCCTAAAATGACAGCGCATTTGAACTGAATAAGGTCTAAGCAGGTAGTTCACATCATTTTAAACGAAGTTTACTTTTAAAATCCAAAAAAACTGGATTTTTGATAGCCATCTAACCTAACGCAAAATAGTAAGCGGGAGATACGGTACTTGGTGCGAACTTTGGAATGTTAAGCAGATTGTCTCATGAGCATGAATGACGAACTAGGAGTCCAGGAAAAAAAAGGTGGTTGTGTTTTATTTAAAAAAATAATAACAATGAAAATATTGGGTTCACAGAACACTAAACTGTGCATGTGAACTCATGAAGTGTCTCCCTATGAATACCTAGGTAGGTACGTGAGCGGATTTCTACTCAGATGTGGGTCGATGTGCTTGCCGGTACGAGTGGATATGCATTCACAGCGAGTGCGCCAAAAATTGTGTATTAAATAAATGTAGCAAGACGGATTCAGGGTTGAGTCCCTAAATCCTAGTATAACATATTTGAAGTCAAATTCACACATTGTTTCATGGTCTACAATTTTTTTGAAAAGCCATCTTGAATTAGTCATGTTTGGTAATCCCATCCCGATTTTTGTTCATTGAATACGATTACTCCAGTTTTTAAATTTTGTTCTCGGTGACGAGAAATTTTAGTTACCTCGCCTGGATTCATTCCACCGAGTATGTAGTAAACTGGTGAAAGTATCGGCGTTGTCATCAAATGTTCTTTAGCTTCCGCATACGCTAAAAACCTTTTTGTTATAACTAAAAAATGCAACTAAGTCTACAAAGATAATTTGTCCATCTAAGTTTTAGAAGGGCGCGTGTGGTGCAGTGTTAGGAGGTGCCCTGCAACACACACGTGGAATTGATCCCCACGCCCATGGCCCACCAAGCCTTCCATCCTTCCGGGGTCGGCAAATTGGTACCAGACTTGTCTAGGAGGATAGCAGCATTGGTTCGATGCATCGGTAGGCCACCGCGAGCCACTGTAAAGGCCAGATATGCATTCAGTCACCTCCTAGTGAAGTCGAATGCATGACGTATCCCTCGGGAATTGATCAACGCTGAGACCTATATCCTTATTAAGTTTTAGAACTTATTCCAAAACGATTGACATAAGTTTAGCAACATATAGGCTACTCGCAGTACATCATCACTTACTGTTGTACTGTTCGAGCGTTTCTCTGGTCAACCACGACATCCATTTACCATTCGGCTCGAGTCCTATCATCCATCGAAGCATTCCGAGGTAACCTGAGATGCTGAACGCTATCCAAACTTGTTGTTAAGACGAACGTTACTTGTTAAGCCATCGGAATTTTGCACCACTGTGTTGTATTTCCTTTAAAACCCTGCCATGAATAAGTAGTAGGCAGTGAATGAAAAGTTAAATATTATGATTACCTGTTATCGTTTTTATTGGTTTTAACAATTTCTACCATCTTTCTAGAGTTCCTTTCCACTATATCTCTACGTTGCTGGATACACTACATATGATAACATTATCGCTAATATAACCACAATGGTGCTGAGATGTTTGCAAAACTGCGGACTGCTGTGTCTGGTGTCTGCGGTGGGGACCAAAAACGCTTCCACTCTTTCCGGGAGCAAATGCATTCACCACCACGCCATGCGAGTCTTTTGTTCCCCCGTCGCTCAGCCGTGTTATTGACCTCAGGCGCTCTCGGCAATCACCCGTCAACAGGATTGATCTCCGGAGCAGGAACCGGCATGAACCCAGTTAAGCTGAAGCTATGGTATAAATCATAATGTTGTCAAAAACACGGCTGAGAGACGCGAAACAAGTGGGCTCCCATGGTGTGGTGGTGAACACGTCAGCCCCGGAAGATGTAATAGGGAGTTCGTATCTTAGCATCATTGTAGTTGTAATTATCGTTAATTTCGTTTAGACTCTAGAAAATCATTGTAAATATGGAGAAGTAGAAGACAGAGAGGGGCTTGGTGGATGGTTTTTCATCTCAATAAATTGGATTTCAAAGGGGAAAGTCCGGCTTGATACTGTCTTATGTTCTTACGTTACAATATGTGATGTTGTTTATATCACATGCCTCCATCCAGTTGAAACCTTTCATTTGCTGTGATTGAAAATGCTCGTTCCTTCATCCCATTGTAGATACCGATATATCCGGCAAAGTTATTCGATTTGTAAAGGATTTTTCCTGAAAAAAAACTGTGTTTTACAAATTCGTCCACGTGCCTAAGTTATATATACATACGTATGGTTTGTATTTTATGTTAAAAACTAAAAAAGATAAACCACTCGGCGTTGATCAATCCCTGAGGGATGCGCCATGCATTCGACTTCAGTAAGTATCGTTGAAGGTGATGAATGCACATCTGGCCTTTACAATGACTCGCGGTGGCCTACCGATGTATCGAGCAAATGCGGCTATCCTCCCAGACAATTCTGGTACCAATTTGCCTACCCCGAGAGATGGAAAGCTTGGTGGGCCTGGGCGCGGTGATCGATTTTGCGTGTGTGTTGCAGGGCGCCTCCAACCACTGCGCCGCACGCGCTCCTGCATTTTAAATTACTGTAGTATAATTCATTGTGACTTTTTAAGGTAACATTTTGAGGACGGCGTGTAGCTGAGTGATTAGAGGTGCCCTGCAATGCGCATAGGATCGATCTAGCGGCCCAGAGTCACCAAGTCTTCCAACCTTCCGAAATCGGTAAATGGCTACCAGACCTGTTTGGAAGGATATCAGCACTGACTCGATGCACCGATAGGCCACCGAGAGTCAGAGTAATTAGCCAGATATCTATCCAGTGACCTTTTAATGAAGTCGAGTGAACGGCAGATCCCTCTGGAATTGTTCAATGCCGAGAGCTTTATCCTTTTCTTCCCCTTTTGTGATTTCTGCTATTATTGGTACAATCACTGATACTTGTCATGATCGTTGTTACTAATGCTCGCTCTTTTCTTGCGATCGATGTCTTCATTAGAAAACTGTGGAATTATTCCTCATCGAAACTTTTAAAACTTTGTAGAACAAGTTATAAGGAGGATACTTCGCTTCCATATAACAGCGCGTATGGCGCAATGTTCGGAGGTGCTCTGTAACATACACAATCGATCCCTGCGCCCATGGCCCACCAAGCCTCCCACCCTCCGGGATCGGCAGATTAGTACCAAACTTTTCTGGGAGGGTAGAAGCACTGGCTCATTTCATCGGAAAGCTACCGCGAGTCATTGGAAAGACCAGATATGCATTCAATCACTTCCAAACGATGCTTGATGAAGACGAATGCATGGTGCATCTCTCATGGATTGATCAACGCGGCGAGCTTTATCCTTTTTTTATTTCACTTTCGACTGTTTCCATATTTATATAAAATGTATTTTGATAATTAATGAGCTCTTACAGTACTGGTTAGTTCCCAAACATTTTTTAGATCTCCTAGATTCTGAATTTCTTCGGTTGAAGATTACCAGTCAGTGTAAATTCAACACCAAGGAACATGAAGTTACTACGATGTTGCAGCACAGCTATAGAAAGTATTTCATAGCAAAAGCTGCGTCTTGCAATGGGTCTAGGACAGTTCACTTAATATTAAACATTGGGAAGTCGATATCTATTTTCCCAATAACACTTCTGCATGGCGAATCAACATTATTACCATTGAAGAAGCTCAATGACTAGCTAGGTAGTTGTAATATCCTACCATCCTTCATCCAGTTGACATTAATGATCATTCTTCTCAATGCGGATGAGATTTCCCATTCGTGAATTTCAGGATTCCAGCCGAGGAATAAACCAAAGTCCAAGTTCCTTAATCAGTGATCAGTTATTATCATTTTCTATCGAAATGTCTATTTAAATACACCAATGAGGAAAGAATGTGTGCTTATCCTCTTTGCAAAATGTTCTTTCAGGATTTTTTCAATAATCTGGCACAAAGGTCGGACTTTGGCCAGGCTGACCTCGGGATTCCGGGGAACTGCAATGGATTAAGCAGCAAATCTCCGAAAAATAGAGATTATGCTGGAACCTGCCACGACCAGTGAGGATGGGCCATTCAAGTATCAAGTAAGTATCAAGTAATCTGGCATGACACTTTGGGTAGAAGGATTTCTTTCAAATTTCTTCATGACGCTAGCTTATGTCATTGTTATAGCCAAGGATAGTGTGTCTACTCACTTAGCGACTAATGAAGTAGAGATTTTTGCTAAAAATTTTCATGACAAACGAGAGTTTATTATGAATGGTAACCAGAATTTGTTCTTTAATGCAGGACAAGAATGAACTGCGGGGATTGATACGAGCAGATATGAATCTTTAGATTAGCGTTTTCCACTTAACAAACCAACCTCGCATGTACGATATGGCCGTCGGGATCCTGAGCGATGATTGATGTGCACACAGTGAAAATCTCGTAGAAAATGTTGTAGACGACAATTTGCCCCACAGGAATACCAGTATCATTGGAGATTGACTGAAGGGAAACGAGTGAGATTGGCTAGGATTTTCTTTTTCAAGTGAATTCCTTAAACAATACAGAATTGCTTGAGTGCACTTGAACCATTTGCCTGGAAGAATTATGTGAACTCCACCACATTATTCGCACAACTGGAATTCGCTTGTTAAGTGTTATGACTTTCCCCGAAAGTCGAGCAGGGATAACCTGTTCCGAGACCCGAACCTTATCAGGGTTTCCTCAAGTCGTTATCTACGCAATCGCCAACCCTTCTGGACCAAGGCGTGATTTGCCTCTTCGAGAATTAGTTTTTCCCAATACGGTGACACTCTTTGGCATAGATTTATGCTTAGCCGGACTTTTTCATGAACACTTCGAATGGGTTCACTACTTGAGTTATGCGCTCTCGAGGTCAATCCTCTGGTGTATGAAACCGTTCGGAGCCTATGAACACCTCTTCGTTCCCGTAATGCCTTAGACTACCTAGTAGTGAAAATAAAAGCATATTAAAACCATAACGTTGCTGAGATATTTGCAAAACTCTGGACTGCAGGTGTCTATGGTGGGAAACGAACGCGCTATTGTCCTTTCCGGGGAGTAACGCGTTCACCATCACACCATGAGGGTCCTTCGTTT